TTTTTGTGGCAATATTGTCAGAATTTTGTTTCCAAATTGTTTGGTTAGTTCAATAGAAGTTCAACCTAATTTATACTATTTTGGGACTTGAAAATGCAGGTGGCCATTCGCAAAGTTTATTTTTATTTTTTTTATTTATGTTTACTTTCTACCACTTGCCACTTGGTCTTCATGTAAAAAGGGTTAAAAGATCAACCTACAAGCTGTAGGTGAGCAAAGTTTGTTCATGTTTTTGCACTGGATAAGTACCTAAAACTGACATTAAATTTTGTCTCTAAGCCTCTAGAGTGCATAGCAATCCTGTGTGAGCTTGTTTAGATTTTCACAATTTCACAGGGGGTGCTCCCAGAACTCCTAGAGGAAATAACGTTACCTTTAGGGCCCCTCATTAGCTAAATCTGTACCTATGGGGATGATTTCATAACAGTAACCAAAACACCTTGATTTGCATCATTTAGTGTTTTCTCACAATGACACTTCTTTTAACCTTGATATGTTTGCCACAATACGTTTTTACTTAAATATATGATTTAAAGAATGAAATATCTTCCTTAATTCAGGGCTGTCACTTATTTTTCAAGTAGGCGGGGAAATGAAAAAAGTAGCTGGGGTTGGGGTCTGCCTACTTCACAAATTACTGACTGCCCTGGTTCAAGACATTGTACTGTAAGAAAGTGAATCATGTAGTTTCCTTACAACAAAATTCTTTGGCCAAGTTATTCAACCCAACTCTACTATGACACAAGGCATTGTAGAGGTCATGATAAGGTGTAGCCGAAGTTGTTGTATTTGTCCAGCAAAGTAACATCTCAAGTGGTTTATCTTCTGCATTAGCAGTTATATCGTCCAATACATCATCAGGAATGCCAAGGCGAATTCCCAGTCTCTTCCACACTTTACCAATCTGTCCTGCCAAATCATCTAGTTCAAGGTAACTGGGTTTGCCTTTTTTAAAAGCATCTGTATCTGAAAGAGGAGAGGCTTGCAGTTAACCAATGATGCAATTTTACCACATTATAATCCAAGTGATAAAAACATCATCTATCCTTTTAGTGAAACATGAAATTTATTCACATCATCTAATGCTGATCAATACCATCATACCATTTTAGGAGGCAGCGTGGCCGAGTGGTTTATGGTGCCCGCGTTGTAATCAGGAGGTCCCGGGTTCAAGGCCTCCACCCTGCCACTAGCGGGATTTGTTTCTCGGTAGTCCCAAGTTCAAATCATTGGGCACGCTTTGTAAATAGCCAACTGGTCTGCCTCCTGCCACTTGGGATTTTTAACTATGTTACATTTATTTGAAACATTTGTTTCCTTTGTTTCAGTGGCATGCCTGTAAACTAGCTAAGTTAAGGCTTGTATAGCTACTGCAAGTGCATGACCACTACAAGTAAGATCTACATTTTTTTTTTTTACATTACCATGTGTCAAACAAACTTCAGGTTCATAAAATAAATCTTTGTACACAAAATTACACTTTCCACTTGTTTGATCCTTTTCCCAAACCATTTTTTTTTTCCTTTTTCAGACCTGATGTAAGAAGTGAAAGTAAAAACTGGTGGATTTCCATATTTCATATTATGATACAAAATTATTAACTTTAGATGATTTCCAATTCGGTATTCCTCAGTCTCGGCACCCCAGTGTTTGTGACTCTCACTTGATGGATTCCAAATCAATTTAATTTGTTATGAACTGCTTACAGTACATTTACCTTATCTTCGAGGCATTTAAAATTCTTTTTCCAACAGTTTCTTTGATTTTACAGCTGAGAAGTTGTTTCATCAAGTGATCTCACACAGAACAAGGCATAACACTTCACATCCATAATGGCGGTTGACATGAAACTTTAAATTTACATGTACTTCATGTAAGTGAGTAGTTGCAAAGTGTTACAATTTTGTGACGTCTTACA